TCGAAGTCAGGAGAGGCACGACGCAGGAATGGCAGCTTGCTGCCTGCTTTTCCTCCCAGCTCCTTCCTGCAGCTCCCGGCTCTGCTCTCAGTGACCCCAGGGCATTGGCGATGCGGGGAGCAGGGACAGAGGGGACGAGGGGTCCTGGGGCGGGGGTTTGGCTGGGCTTTGGGGGAGGAAAGCAGAGATTCAGCTCTGGTGTCTGTTCAGAGAAGGTTTTAAAAGCAAAACAAGGAACAGGGCATCTTCCTAGGGGCTGCCAGCAAACCCCTCCACCCCTGGGGCATCACAGGGACGTTTCCCCTTGGCAGCGGTTGCTCTGGAACTGGCTGTGGGTCTCTACTGACCGTCTCGATTCGTTTTACCCCAACGCAGCTGCTGGCCTTTCTGCAGGGGCTTTTCACCTTCTACCACCACGGCTACGAGCTTGCAAAGGACTTCAGCGATTTCAAGACAGAGCTGACCATCAGCATCCAGAACGTAAGTGTGCCACGTGCCCGTGCCACTTTGCCATGTGCCCATCGCCGTGCCTGTCCTGCAGAGCAGAATAATGCTTTTTGATATATTTTAGAAAAGGTTTTATTCTCCTTTTTTCTGTGTGCCATCGAGCGAAGGCTTTGACTGTGTCACTGAAAGCAAATTCTTTTTTGTAAATAACACTGCATCATATACACGGCCTACATGGCAGTTCATTCCCTACGGCATACCACAGGCGGAGGAGGCCCAGCTTCCCCAGGAGTCGGCCAGCAGGCAGACATCATTGCGTGCCCTCTGATTTTAGTGAGTGTTTCAAAGGATTTTGCAAGTGTTTCGAAGCGCTGTTCAGTCTGGGCAGTGCAGGACTTTTTGCTGTCCCAGTCCCTGGGCTGTGGAGCGGAGCCCTTCGGCTGGCCGTGGCCAGTGCACGGTTGGTGCCTGCACATCAGACGTGTGCGCAGGGCTTTGGCATGTTGGCATCACAGCTTTGCTTTCCTCTCTTGTTATAAAATTACTCTTTTTCTCCCAAGGACACAGACTGGTTTCGTTCTTTTGAAACAACTTTTTCACAAAACTCATAATACAAATAACTTGCCAGTTGTCATAGTATTTTTCTTATAGCTTAAATCCAGGCCCAGGAAGGAAACCTGTCCTGTGGCTGACAGTGGGCTCCCCTGGTCCCGTTTCCCACGCGGGCTGTAGTGACCCAGCTCTGGGGTCCCACCTTGCGTGGTGCCTCCTCGCTGCAGAGGAGGCCACGTCGGGTCCGTGCACTGGAGAAGG